TTGTTTTAACCTGTTCGAACTGTATTTGGACCACCTTCGACAACAAGAAGAACAACAGGTACTGGATCTACATCAAAAAGAAAAAAAAAGAAAAGAATAATTATTGGCTAATAAGAGAACATTTTTCATATGAACCTGAATTTTCTGGTTGTAAAAATGAGGGTGGGGTGGGTGTGGGTGTGGGGTGTGGGTGTGGGTGGGATGTGGGTGTGGGTGTGGGGTGTGGGTGTGGGTGGGATGTGGGTGTGGGTGTGGGTTCCACTTGTTTCACAGAATACACCCACACACCCACACCGCACACCCATCTGATAATGAAAGGACGTCTGTTAAAAAACGACGAGTTATGAAAAACATATTTCAATATATATGAAAAGAAAAAATTAAATAGAACTTTTAAAACACAATTATCATGTATTTTGACTGTGTGCCATTCTTTATCATAAAATCAAAGATATCTTAATATACATGTTAGGTGTGGATAGATAGGGTTGAAAAGAACATTTTACCACTCAAACACCCCCACCTACCCTGATGATAATTATAAATATTCATCACATGATGTGTATACTCCCACATATATGATCATAGATCAATTAAGTTCAATTTACTGGTATACATGGATAATACGGATGATTGAATATATATCCACGTATATTGATGATGATTAAAACATAATAATATCATCGATACAAAGTCCATGCGAAAAGAAAGAAAAAGAGAAAATTCTCTCTCTTTCAAATGAGTGTATATACTCATGTTTTTTCAATGAGTTTTCATTCCGATTTCGGAATAAAGACTAATCTGTTTTCTTTCTATTCTAGGTTGGTCTTCAACCAAATAACAACCAGAAGCAAAATTACTCCAAAATAAAATGTGGGTGTCGTTTCAATTTTTTTTTCTTTTTCCTTTATATTTATATACTCATCGAGGTCATTTGAGATGAATTATAATAAAATGATTCACTTACTTTTATTGGGATTTATTCGTTTTTTTGTATTTCTGTAATAAAATCAAAGATCTTTTAATTTTTATATGGTTCGAGACTATAATTGATTTCTCTATCTAATAAATAGTTTTCATTCGATTTCTGAGGGATATTTTGATAAAAAAAAATTAAAAAAATTTTAACACTTGATAATCATTCAGGTTATTCTAAGAGAACAACTGAAAATTTAGGGTGTGGGTGTGGGTGTAGGGTTGGTGTGCAGGGAGTGAATGTGGTCGAACAGAAGACACACACTCACATCCACACTCATACCCACCCACACCCACACCCAAAACCCATTCAGACCCAGACCCAGACCCACACCCACATCTATACCCCACACCCACACCCACACCTACACCCACACCCACACCCCACACCCACACCCACACCCACACCCCACACCCACACCCACACCCACACCCACACCCACATAAAAAATCAAGCTTATTAAAAAAGAATACTATAGAGATGTTAGTTTTGATAAAAAAAACCTGCCACAAGAAATCGTTGTTGTTTATAAAAAAAGTAAATCTTAAAATCAGTCGCACATTTCTTTTAAAAATCATTTTTGTTTCTTTTATATCAAATGAAAGTAAAAGATCGAATGCCTTTCCCACTTATTGTAATATAAATTACACTAGACTTCACAGAACTATACTTTTAAAAATAAATTTACATTCAGATCTTGAATAATTTACAAAATCTAAATACTAAGAGATATTTTTTGCGACAAAGAAAATTCTCGTACAAAAACCAAGAGTTCAAGATAAAGTTCGAACAGTCATCCATATCATACGCTAATTTTATGAGTTGTGATTATTTCAATCAATCAGATCATTAAAAATTTGAACACAATAATGCCCACTTAATGAAGTATTTTTTTTGCAGATAAAAGCGCAACGACTATAACGATACTTAGTGTCGTTATAACGCCAAATAACGCCACTATATGGCGTTTTTGCGCTATAACGGCGTTAGTTAAAAAAAAGAACAACATGAGTGCTGGTATACCACCACTTATTATGGTTATTATAAAATGTATTCTATCACGAACATTTGATGCACTTGATTTTCTTGTTTTTCTTATATCGGCTATTGTTGGACTTATAACACATAATCCAATTGTACTTTTATTAGAAAAATCTATTATAACAGGAATTTTATCAATTATATTTGGTTTAACATTAATCCCATTACAATGTTATCAACACTATTTACATATACGTCCACTTGCTTATTATTTTTATCAAGATTTAGTACCAATAAAACGATATGATGTTGGATTACCTAATTATATATTTGAAAATGAACATGAATCAATTAATGAACATACAATAAAAAAATTATCTTATAAAAAAGAAATTGTTCTAGTTTATGAATGGCTTTATATACATTGTTCATCATTTCGTTCTACATGTTATATAGTAACAAGTATTTGGTCAATAGGATTTCTGTTAGAATTTCTTGGTCGACTTACTTTAATTCTTGTTCGTTTATCAATTAATAAGATTGTTATTTATGAATATGTTATATTGAGTTCAGTAACAAGTATAATGATTCTATTAACAATTATTTGTATAGTAAAAGAAAGAAAACAAACATTAATATTTATTAAACAATGGAAAAATGATCATTTGAATGTTCAACAAGAATAATGAATCGATCAATTGAATTTAAATATTATTATCTATAAATTGTTAAATAATTCTCGCTTAATTTTTTTTTGTTCAAAAAACAAATCAATAAATTTTTGACTTTTTATTCTTGATTAATATTTGTTTTCTAAATTGTCTGCTATGAATATGAAACTTTCATATTTTGAAAAACAAAAATTTACTTTCAAATTTTCATGCGTAACGTCTATAATATATGTTAAAAAGTACATGGAAATTCATATAAATGATACAACATTTAAAAAAAAATGTTATTCGGATTTCCTCTGACTTTTCATCAAACCATGTCTATCGAATTTTCCACATTATTATTTATCATATAAGCACAGTAAGAATGAAAATGAGAAGATAAACATTAAAAAAAATTCAAAATAAGAATCAGTTTAAAAGGTATATGGATTCTATACTCTATTAGTAGCAGCGCTCACACCTCTACTTAGCATCAGAATATCAAAGCATCGGAATGTCAAAGCGTTGTAAACGTTCAGCATCTCTTTCTTTTTTCAAATTATAACCAACAATAATGATGCAAATTAAAACGGGAATCCCAAGACCCAATGTGAGACCAATAATTAGTCCTGTCGTTGATTTTAAATGAGAAATAGAAATAGTAAAAAATAACTTGAAATCATTAGTTATTTACCTGACGGAGAAGTTACTACAGTAGGTGGTGTTGTTGGATTTAATTGATCAATCACATCTAAATCAAAATTTATTCACAATTTTATTGAATATTCTTCTATTCATTTTACTCACATGCACAATTAAAATCATATAATTCTATATTATCTAATGCAAAATGAATCGTTCGATTCAATGTAGAATTTACTGTACGATTTTCTATACCAACAATAAAAGAAAAGGCTAACTAAAAATTCAAAATTTCTATTTTTTAATGAGTTTTTCTAAAAAAAAATAACATCTTGCTGTGTAATTAGAAAATGTTGAATTAAATGTTATATATTGAAGTTGCCATCCATTTTCTTCCATATCAAGTATTGTAAGATTTCCAATTAAAAATCCCCTGCCAGCGTCATTATCGGGTCTTATCAACACGTCAATCTGTTGTTTCCAATCTTGTCCATTATAAATAGTAAAATAATAATAAAATCGAAGACATTGTTCTCCAACTGAATCTCCTGGAGTTGAATTATAATTGAATGAGTGACTGATTATCGTCGGTGAGTCTGATAAATTAAGTGATACAAGACCATACAAACCTATGAAAAACATTAAATTTTATATGATGTCAAACATAGAGAAAAATGAAATTTTTTTCATAGTAGAATGTCTTTAATTCTATTTCAACTATAAGCATTTAATTAACGTTATAAAATTCGAACAAGAAATATAAGAAAGTTTTACCTGATGCACATGTCGCTATGTCTCCATTGTCTGTTTCACATGTATTATTATAACAAAATCGCATATACGGATAGGTAGGATTCATGTTATTATCCAGTGATAGTTGATAAGGTAGTCTGCATGTTTCATTGTTACTTGTTAGAGCAGCTATAATAATAATCGTCAATATATTTATAAATTTTGAATCCAAAAAAGGAGATGAAACTTACTAATAGATGTAACGTCAGAAGTTGGTGCTCTAGGAGGTTCTAAGCCATTAGGAGGCGGAAGAGGATCGAATTCACTGCCATTAGTTCGTCTGAGTTGATCATCTGCAAAACATGCAGAATCAAAATCACATCGAAATAGTGGACCGAAAGCACGTTCTGTGATGATAATTGTAGATGTCATCTCTTGTACATTTGACTAGAAATACAAATCATAATTTGTAAGAATGTTTTTTTCATCATTTTTATAAGTTTGTGTTTTTGATAGCATAGAAGTTTAACTTTTACTTTTAATAACTCAAGACAAATTTAAAATTCTATTAATTACAATTGGAATAATATCTGTCATATTATTCATATCAAGAAAATGTACCGAATATATCAACAAACTATTCTTAATATTGAATCAATTACCGCTTTCATTGTCTGTTCAGGAATCGACTTTGGTAAAACATCTTCGTCAGTCAAAATTTTTGAAGACGATATCAATGGTGCATTTGCAAATCTAAAAGTAACGAATTGTTGAATATACGACAAATAAAGGTTGTCTTATAAGTTCTGGACCTTAACGAAAATTAATTTATATGTAAACAAAGAGTGATCTCCACTCAAATATATCTAGATAAACTTTGAGTACTTAAGACGACGTTTTAAATGACATATTATCCGATGATATTATCACTTTTAATAAAAGTGATATAAACAGAAGAAACATGATCAACTACACAAAGCGATACGTAGTATCTAGATTGTTTCTCCGGCAGATATTATGAGTAAATATTCGAGTCATCATTTACCTTGTATGAAAAATTTATGAAAGAGATAGGTTAAAAATAAATTAAAAAGGTGTAGGAGACAAAAATCTTCTCTTCCAAGATGATCAAGGTTCAAACTATAGGACAACAATTGTATTACGAACTATTGATGAACTATTTATTGTAACAGTTTCATTCGAAGATGAAGATGTCAAATTTGCAAATGTGTAACCAATTGAAAATATATAGGAAATATTAAAAGAAAAAGTCCGTCGAGCAGGATTCTCTAATTTCAAAACACTAAAAAATATATTGAATTTGTTTTTGATCGTAGAAAATAATGATGATCGGTTTCAAGATTTTAATAATCACTATTATTAATAGAGATAATGTCATCGGAAAATATGTCATTTAAAACATTGTCTTAAGTACTCAAAGCTCATATAGATATAGTTGAATAGGGATTACTCTTTGTTCATGTATAAACTAATTTTCGTTGAGACCGAGAACTCATGGGACATCCTTTTCAATTTCTATTGATAACTAATCATGAAAGAAATACAACGATGATGCGAAAAAAAAGAAGTCGAGATAGTGTAGAATTTAGAATGATTTTGCAAGTGATCTTCAAATTATTGAATCGATTCTTCTGAAATCCTTCTACAGATAAATATATTCATCATGAAATATTAAGAAGAAAAATCCATAGATAAATATTATTTTCTATTATACAAAATTCGAAAAAAATTTTTTTTCTTTAATAAAATAATAAAATGAATCTAAATTTTGTCTAGTAAATATGTGTATTTTTTTTCCTGTTATCAACAGTCGAAATTGAAATACCTGAATTTTATTCTTTAGAAATTCTTGGATTTTTATAAAATAATTTTATTTATTTCATTAAAATTTTCTAAAGACAATTTAATCAATATTTTTCACTAACCCTATTTGTTGTCTTGTATCTTGTTTAACTGATTGTTCATTTGACAAAAGTACATGCTTCATTTTAGAAAAAGAAACATAGTTTATTAATTAAACTATATCAAAGAATACGTACAACAGTAGAATTAATTTTTGGACTATTAATATGCAAGACTATGAGTAGTCCAATAGCGAATATAGCTACTACAATAATATAAAAAACGTAATAACGATTCGTGATAAAAGATATTACGTCATACCGAATTTAAACATCATATATATTGATGAAACAACTAAAATTTAAATTTACTTCAGATAACGGCGTCTTGCTTTGAAAATGTGCCTTGAAATGAGTTGCTACGGTAATAATCACTCTAAATATATACAGTGCAGATGCCTTCTCGACAATGATCTTTGCAAAAAGATAAGAGAGCCTCATATACACGATACATAATGATAACACCATGCATTGTCTTTTCTTTATGCATGGTAAAACATAAAACGCTCAGTAGCTTTATTTCTTTTTTTTTTCTACTAGCTTTATCAATGTGCATAAACAAAAAAAAGCCTTATATGATATTACCACTAGAGGAGAAAGAAAAGATTTCATAGAAATATTTGTTGTTTCATTTTTCTAATGATATTAATTTAAATCAATATTATATACATATATATTTCAATTTATAGAGACATAAAATTCTAATTCAAATGTAAAATATCCAATAAAATCAATTTTTTTTTTGTTCTAATTAAATATTATCTTATTATACATTCTGATTAAAAAACAAAAAAAAACTTGCTTAATATACACAATAATAATTTAACGCAGTTATGTTGATTACTCATTGATGTCATAAAGCATTTTATCATCTAGATAGATAAGAAATTTATGTATGATTTAAAAAAAACAGAAATAGGTGAAAGCCTTGTATGAAATATCTAAATTAGTCGTTTTTTTTCTTTGCAAAAAAAAAATATATATAAATATATATAACATGATTCAACATCATATGCTATTTTTAGTTGCAAATATCTTGATATGAAAAATTTACAAAGCAATAACTTTTCATCATATGATGCGAACTAACATACCTTGTGCTTCGATAATTATTAATAGATTATAAGCACAAGAGATAGTAAATGGCGTATGGTATAAAATATTCATAATATCTAGTTAGAGTTTTGTGAGACAAATTGTTTTCAAATATGTTTTAGATTCAACAAAAAAAAATAAAATTTTTTTAAATTATATCTGTCACATTATTTTATAATTTCAACGAACACAAAAACAATTAACAATTGTCTGAAAAGACTACATCAATAATATTCATACAGTATATGGATCAACTACAACATTATTGTACCGTTAGACACAAAAGAAAATATTGAATTTTGACGAATTGTACACTGTACTGTCTGCAACCGAATAAGAAATAATAAGTTTTTTTGATTATTACCATCAAAATATCCAAGATTTGATTTCTTCTAACGAATTGTCGAACAGTTAATTTGACAAAATGCTCGTTTCTCTTAAAGGAACTTGCAGAAATTTGAAAATATTGGGTTTGTATTTGTGTTATTTTCGAGTATGCTTCAAAATTTTTCTAGAACTTTTGATTTCAAAGTTATGAATCGACCTTCATAAATTGAGTTCGGACGAGCTTCAGCATGGCAAAACTTATCCAGAGTAGAAGCAAAAATTATGTCAAATACAGCGAACAAAAGAGCAAACATTTCTCTATAAAACGGTATTCTATGTGATAAATACCACTGGGTAAATCCATGGGAAACGTACCACTTTATACATGACTGTCTCAGGATTGACTGAAATTTTCAGGGTTTGTAGAGCTCGATGAGTTGATCATTTTGGTAATAAATTATTATGGGTTTGATTATGGATTATGGTCGAAATAAGCAAAATACAGTTTTCACAATTTCCGAAAAATCACGACCAAAGTGAAAAGTTCTCATTTTTGCGAGAACATTTTCTCTTCTATTTCAGGATCAAAATGGAACATTCTATATATATTCTGATAGCCCGTGCTCAGCTCTCTCGAACCATATATGAATCAAAAATTTTCCATTTCTTAAGAAAGATTTTTAATTGGACCATCAAAAGTTCACTGCAACACAAACTTTGTCTTCTAATAAAAAACCCCTTTCAAATTTGGGTGAATCGTGGTCTAGCAGGTTTTGTAGAGTGTCGCTTGCTCTATCCTCTGGTATAGAGTGCATTGCAGCCGGTTTCCGTTTTCGTGCGTTAGAGGGTCAAAATGTTTATCTACTACTGTTTTATGAAGGTTTTAGTTCATATTTCTGAATTTTTCAAAAGAAAAGCTCAATAAATTAATCTGAAACTTTAAACTCAGAGAAATCTCAATTATTAGAATAGGAATCATAAAAAAATTTATTAACATTATCTTGTCTTTCATATCATCCTCCGATAGTAAAATGTGACAAGTGACATTTGAACTCTTGTTTGTTCAAAGGAGAGGGGTGGTTAATCGATGAAGTCTGCCCCCTTCTCAAATCGAGTTTTATATTTTCCAAATAGTCGATTAATGTTCAAATTAGTGAGGTAGTCTTAGTTATAGCTATGCAGGAGGAGTCAAAAATATTGATATTGTCTATTATCAGGTCAGTTGCAATATGCGGCGTTCCTATGAAGTATATTGACTGTGTCGTTAACATCTTTTAATTTGAGTTAAATACTAAATAAAAGCTTATTGTTTTTGCTATCGAATGATATAAAATAGTGTGATAAAATATTCTTCTTTCATCGTTTTCTTGAGATGGCCTTGTACACTACTATGTAACATTTTATGAGTATTCATAAGAAAATCCCATATTCAGGTACTAAAGAAACACAGATCCAACGTGAAGAAGGTACTATTCGATAGTTCTTTTGAAACTCTGCAAAACTATGCTATTACATTGAGTTTAATTTGTGGGGGAGATAGTCAACTGAAAGGCACAGTCCTGTAGGACGCCAGAAATTGGATTTTTTTTTCTCATTTTTCATTCATTTTCACTGAAACTGTTCGGCTTCGTGTTTGAAAAAAACATATATTTAAAATCCTCATGAAAAGCTGAGTTGATCTGTATGTACTTGAAACTGCGCTATCGACTTTCATTTTTTTCGAAAATTTCAGCCCTAGTCTTCCTCAGGGATATTCGAAAAAATAAATATCGGAAAAGTATGAGTTTTAACATGAAAACGAAGATGTTAACTGTTTAAAAGCTAGAAAAAGTCAAAATGGTAGCTAGATAAGAAATAAAAACGAGAACTTTGTTGAATTTATTTTTCGGCATATCCCTGAGGGGGACCAGGCCTGAAATTTTCGAAAAAAATGAAAGTCAATAGCGCAGTTTCAAGTATATATAGACCAACTCAACTTGTCATGCTGATTTCAAGTAGGCCATTTTTTTAAACATAAAGCCGGATATTTCGAGCAAAAATGAATCAAAAGTAACCGAAAAAATTCAATTTTTGGCATCCTACAAGTCTGTACCTTTTGGTTGACTATCTTTCCCGCAAATTAAACTCAATGTAATAGCATAGTTTTGTTAAGTGTCAAAAGAGCTATCGAATAATACATAATTCAAGTTGGATCTGTATTTCTTTCGTACCATAAAATAGGACTTTCTCATCAATACCCATACAACGTCACATAGTAGTATTCAAGGTCATCTCAAGAAAACAATGAAACACCAGTATTTTATCATACTATTTTATATCATTCGATAGCGAAAACAATAAGCTTTCATTTGGTATTTAATTCAAATTAAAAGATGTTGACAGCAGAGTCAATATGCTTCATGGGAACACAGCATACCGCAACTGCCTAGGCAGTAGACAGTGTTAATATTTTAGACCATCCGTGCATATCTATAACTAAGACTAACTGGCTAATTCAAACGCTAATCGGCTTTTAACATCTCAATCGACTATTCGGAAAATATAAAACTTGGGATGTGGGTGGGTGTGGGTGGGCGGGTGTAGGTGCGAGTGTGGGTGTATCTGTTTTCTTCATCTACACCCACACACCCACCCCACACCCACACCCACACCCCACACACCCACACCCACCCACACCCACACCACACCCACACCCAGCCACCCCACCCACACCCACACTCGCACCCACCCACCAGTGGCGTAGCCAGCAGGGGGCCAGGAGGGGCTGAGCCCCCCCTACGGACCTTTGAGCCCCTCCTGGCGAAATTTTAGAAAGACATATTCTTTTTATACCAAAATAGATTAGTGTTTGCAATTTTACCTTTTAACATATATATTTGATTTTGTGCAACTCATATGTCTTTGAATAAAAGAAAATACAGTAAATGCAAATACAAGTTTCAATGAGGTTTATTAGGTTATGAGTAGTTTATTTCAGCTTTGCAGGAGGCTGCAGTGATTGGTTTTTATCAGAGTAAAGCGATGTCTGTTGTTGTGAAATCAGAATGAAAGTTCATACGTCTTAGGTAGATTGTATTGATCATTTTAAAAAAAATTTAGCTTTTTCTTAATTTATTAAATATTTT